TACGGACAAAAAGCATTAAATCAACTAAAAATCAAAAATATTTATTCATATAAAATCAGAAGCATTGACTATTATCAAAGATTAGCCTCCTCCTAGTCTCCWCTYGCAGTCGTTAGGACGTTCATTCCCWGGTCACTYCCCYATTAGRAGGGRGTGACCTGGGMAAGAACATCCTCTCGCAGCCATTAGGAYGTTCATTCCCAGCCAGTGACCTGGGAACGAACGTCCTAACAGCTGCGAGAGGAGACTAGCCTCCTCCCCATGCACTTCTTTTTTCCTCCTTTGTAATGGTYATCTTGACTGCTAGGGTCTAGTGGCAAGGAAGGAACAYRCCTYCTCTTTCTTGCYCCCATTCTCCCTCTTTTGACTCCCAAAAARGACAGGAAGCCYGTRATTCTTTGTGATGCCTGCTGAAGAGGCTAATCAAAGATATTGAGCAATAAATATAGCTCTTCAGGTGTCGTCACACAGTTTATAAGTTTCCCATTACAATTTGAAGTTCCAAGATGTTTTGTCATTATTCATTTCTTGTCAATCTCTCMAGACGACTCTAAATGTAGGTAAGGRAATCAATAATTTYTCCCTCACAGCCATAATCGTATACCTTTTGGCACATGCCTGGACTCCATTAGATATTGAAATGTTATCACTTCCAACTGGGTCATGTTCATCACAGCGAAATGCCTACAAAATTACAAGCACTAACAGTAATGTATACACATGTTTACATGGTACTGAAGTTTTGACAATTAAAAACAATATTCTATTGATTTTAATCTTATTCTATCAGATATTTGCATTAAAATATACAGACACACATATAATGTTTATACGATCTTTATATGTGAGCTTTAATTAATCAGCTGATAAAGTTTTCTATTTTAACTAATTTCAGAGAACCCAAATTTCGAATAATACCAAAATAACAAGGAAAATAGTTTATTAGTGGCTTACCTGAGTACAAAATAATACCGTAGGACCATGATATTCACAAAAATGACACAAGGCAATGATTGCATTCATAGCTTTTCAGTTTGTAGCAAGAAGGGTCTCAAAATCAGTGCAAAGGGCATCATTCAACTTCCATGCTGTCGGTCGGATGACTCTACGAATTGTTATGAGTCAAAATTATTGAACAAAATTAATCGAATCAACACTGAAAATTCATTAAACTCGTTTGCGTCTTTTACTTGGAAAGGAAGTGCGTTTTACTTTCGATTTTAGCTGCGTCAGGTTGTATACAAGTTCGGCATGGAGTCCGCCATGACAGTCACATGACTAAAGCGTGACCTGTGAATCACGCAATATAGACAGCTTCACGCAAGGCGAAAGTTTTACGTCATCGTGTTGTTGAGTGGCTGAATCCACTTGTATAGCAGGCGTTCCTTGCGACTCCTTGATATGTTTCATAAAAGTTGAAGCAAAAACTCTAGAGAAAAACAAACAAAGTAACAACCGCAAAGAAAAAGAATAAAAAGTATAAAGAAAAAGAAGAAAAGAAAGAAGAAAAAAAAAAAAACAAACATGAAAAAAAAAACAAGAAAAAAAGAAATTCCAGCAGCAGGTCTCGAACTCAGGACTTTCACTTCATTAGAAGACGTAACCCCCCCGGAATACATAATAAATAATGAAAATCAAAAACTAAAAAGATGGGACGATTCCCCCGAGACATKCTRYGAAGCTGAGGCGTCGAATCGGCTTACGTTACGGTTAGAGATTTCGGCTCTTCCACGCTATCCCGAGTGAACATAAAACTTAGTCTTAACCAAAAGGCCAGGGAGTGAGGGGGTAGCCGCCCACTAGAGCATACCTTTAGCTACCCTCTTAGACCATCGTACTATGAAGACACTTATAGATATCTAAGATCTAATTGGGGTAGTCTATTCGGCGAAGTTCTATGCTAATATATGACGTCACCAAAATCCCAAGGGAGCAGCGAGCCAATCAGAGCTCAGCTCAGGAATTAGCAAAAAATACAGGGTTTTTTTTCATAATCATTCTTCAGTGGATATATAATTTGATGGGGGAGGGGAGGTGGTGGTGCGGTGGAGGGGGGGGGGGGGGGGTTGGATGCTGAGTGCTTGTTTACGGCCGAATACCGATGTACTCTGAGTAATTTGACGGCTTTCATCAAGCTGTTCAATTGTCTAGAAAACTTTATATCCTCTAGCCTTCGTCGGTCACCGACATCATCACTAG